GCAATGCCTTTTTCAGCTCGCGCTCTGAAAAAAACATTTTCTTTGATGTTGATGTTGTGGTAAAAAACAAATCGAAATGTGGTTTAGCGTGGTCTGTACTCCTATCGACAAAGAGTACGCGCCATTACTCTTTTCCTAAGCATTTTTTCTTATTGTTTCTGCATGTTGACCAAGTTTGCAAACGTTTTTGAAAGGAAAGTCTGACAGGTACCAGTAGCTCATTTGCATAGTGCAGCGCGTGCACTTTCAAGTCCGAGTCGGTGTTTTCAATTGTCAATAAATCTTGACAAAGATATCTTTCGTTATCTTTGATATTGTGGTAAAAAAACAAATCGAATGTGGTTTAGCGCGGTTTGTACTCTTATCGACACCGAGTACGCGTCACACAGTGGTCAAAATGTGGTAAACTCAGGAGGCGCAGTCGAGTGAGTCCAGAACAACTTTTCACCACTGTGATGACGCGTACTCGTTGTCGATAAGAGTACAGACCACGCTAAACCACATTCGATTTGTTAAATTGTTTTAGTACTATTTTTTAATGGCTCTCAAAATATAACGAGGATATTTAATTATTACAGGTGACTAGGTGTTGTCCAGCTAGTCACAGGTGTGGAACAATTGAAAGTATAATAATTTTTTCCATTTTGTCGCTAGCGTTGATGGCCACGCACATTGTTTGGGTCCGGGAACACAATCGCATCGCCAAGTACCTTCATGTGCTCAATCCATCGTGGCTCGATGAAAGACTCTTCCAAGAGGCGCGCAAAATCGTCATTGCTGAGCTACAACACATCACGTTCAGCGAGTGGCTTCCTGTCTTCTTCAGTGAAGACTTGGTAAGCATTTAATAAATCTAATATTTCGTTTTAGAGAAGGACGGGGGAAAGGGTACACTGCAGTAACAGTTGCATTTATAGGATTTTTAAAGACTCAACCAGCCCATTAGGCACAAGATAAGCCATACTTCTAACTACACTAACACGAGACATCGATTCAATGCGAATAGTTTATTGAGGATGCGTCAGTCAATCATTTGATGTAGATGTATTCCGTCTTACAACATAATCTGCATCCTTACAAATTACCACTATAGGTTCTAACAATTAGAACCTGTGCTATGCCAGATACAAAACATCGCTAAAAAACTACCCTTTAGATGTGGCCAAAAAATATGTGGAAACAGTATCTTCATCTACCTCTACATCTACATCTGTATACGTAATCTGCAAATGGATTCTTCACCTAATGCAGTAGCTCGCGACCCCGAGAAAAGGGTATAAAATCAATAAGGTTTAACATTTTATAATATTATACATACGCGCTGTTATAACAAAAAGGTGACTAAAAAAGTGGACTGACTAACCTAGAATGACCCAAATCTCCCGCCAAATGTCTTAATAGTCCCTAAACGTCCCACGAAAACCCGCAAGCCTCTCCGTCGTACCGTCAGAATAATAATTTCTGACTAATTCGTTCCTCGATCGTCAGAAATTACATTTTAAACAATGAAGGTTTTGAAGGTATTGGAATATTTCTGTACATTTTTAAGAGCGTTGCAGTTCACGTCAGGTTTTGGGTAAATGTCGCCATCTTTTTTCCTACGGAGGATTGCTGTGCTTATGGCTAGCCTCAACTGCAACGCGACTTTGCATTTGCAAACAATGCATAGGTCGAAGGCCCCGCATAACTTTACTCTCTATCTTTCAGCAAAAACGTGAAAATATTCTTCTGGAACCATCAGGAAACTACTTTAACGGTTATGATCCAAAAGTCAATCCAGAGATCATAAACGCCTTCGCAACGGCGGCTTTTCGAATGGGTCACTCTATGATCAGGGATGAATTTGGACAGTTTGACGGGCAGTTTAGACAACAAGGTTTTATTCCAATGAAAACATTTTTTGACCCGTCACCTCTGTATTCATTGAGCAAGAATGGTATCAGTGGAATCTTGTTGGGATTGGTGGCTCAAGCATCTCTAAACGTAGACAGGTAGGTTATTAATGTAGTCACAGCTATTACATCCTACATATGAAGACCCAAGTGATTTAAATTTCCCTGTCGGGAGGATGGAGGATAGTCCGTAGCGAGTTGTCCGCGAGATCATCCTTAGTTTTGAAAATGAGGGAAACGAAGGGCCAACCCAGGGAGGAGACTCCCAAATGAAAATGACCGGGTGCACGTGGGAAATTTTGGAAAGAACCTCTCAGGGTTACCAACTCCTGTTTTGTGGTCGTGGCTTGAAATTGTTTTCACCCTTAAGAGGTGCCAATTCTAAATCAACACATTATCTCCTGTCATATTACCGCGGTGGACCTTTTGGGGCTGAACATCTTAAGAGCTGACAAAGACCGTTTTTTTAACCCCTAAAAGGTATTGCGAGCATCCCCGTCCTTTTTATATGGGATTCTCCTCGGGGGCATATTACAAGGGAACAGCGACTGTTTCAAATGTGATAATAATGACGAAGAAAATAACGATGGCGATAACGATGACGTTGACAGTATCCTCGACAACCACGGCAATAACAACAACGGCAACGATTATATTAACACACATGCTACTCATAAATTGATCACACTTTAGATTCTTTGCACCAGCCGTACGAGAGAACCTGGTGACACCTGGACCACCAGTCCATGGGATCGTGGGTGATCTCTCAGCTATCAACATCCAACGTGGTCGTGATCATGGTTTGCCGCCATACAACCAGTTCCGAAAGATCTGCGGCTTGAGTCTCGCAGCGTCCATTGACAACTTCACGAACATAAACGCGGCTCAGCGAGAGAGGATCCGCGTGGCATACAACGATAATGTCAACGACGTCGACTTGTTTGTTGGAGGTTTAAGCGAAAGTCCTTTGCCAGGAAGCACAATGGGTGCTACCTTTACTTGCATTCTTGTTAAAGGGTTTAAAAACCTTCGTGAGGGAGATCGCTTCTGGTACGAGAGGAATGATTCCTACACTGGATTTACAATGGCTCAGTTGAATGCGATTCGAAATGCAACCCTAGCAAGAGTAATATGCGACAACTCAGATGGGATTGGGCTTATCACACCGAATGTCTTCCTGGAAAGGAGTGTGTCCAATGATTTGACAGACTGTTTCAACCTAAAAATTGTCAACTTGAATGAATGGAAAGAAGGTAAGAGACTGCCAGATAGTTTATAATCCCCAGGAGTGATGGAAAGGGGTCAACAGAGTCTCTGCTAGAGAATCTTTGCTGGTGTTTTCCGAGGACACAGATGTGACTCAGCTGATCGCTGAGAATTGGTCAGACAAATAAAACGTTAAACCTTTAGCTGAGCAATGACGCTTTCTATCTGATGATACAAATCCCATCAAGTTAATCAACAATTAGACCCGTAGCCCGCAAGGGCCACGGGTCAATAGCCCACGAAGCGAAGCCGAATGGGCTATTGACCAATTAAAATGCAGGATCTGCATTAGTCTACTAGTTGGGCGATACTAATTTCCTTTATTATACATCCACAGAACCTGGAAGAAAAGAATCCTGCCAACACAACATTGATGCGGAAAACCTTTTGCATCGTGAACATGAAGGGACTAACGACTTTGCTTCTGTGTAACTAACTCACTGAATTATAGTCAGGAGGAGGGGAGGGACTACCATATAAAAGGGACAAGGGTGCCCGTCGTACCTTTCAGGTGTTGAAAAAGCGGTTTTATTACCTCTTAGGGTATTCAGCGTCAAATGGTCCACACCGAAAACTTTTGCAGTACCTTTATGGGTATTGAGCCGAAAAAAATATGACAGGAGGTAAATGTGCCATTTTAAAATGGGTACCTCTAACGGTTAATAAATTTCCATGTCAAAATTTCCGACGAGCTCCTCCGTCCTTTCTATACGGGATTTCCCCCCAGGGCTAAGTCCAGGTAGTTTGATGTTTCTTCTCTCGATTTGGGATCGGAGATGGTCGTCGGATAAAAGACCCAGTAAGGGTGCCGAACGCGTGTTCGTATGACTAGCACAACTGGCGTGACTAGCTTTACGATTAGTTTGTACCCTAGCGTGACAGGTTTGTGCGTAACAGAATAAATAAACATAGTGGGACCATGCGTTATTAGGCCATAAGTATACTGCTCGTATGTAATAAAACCTCTTAAGGGAACTCAATCACGATATTTTGAGTTATTTTGGCCATGCAGTACAAAATTGCCTTCAAATTGAAGGAAACCTGAAAATAGAAGTTTAAAACACTAAAGAAATCATAATAATAAAACATGATGAAAGAAGGATGGTTCAGGATGGAGAAGAGTAACACAGGTTACAACCGACGCACTTGAAAAATTTAAGCTAAACTTTTAAAGATGCGCAAACCGGACGTAGCTCCTTTAAATTAAAATAGCGGGATCAGTCGACGCAATCACATCAACCTCATACCCAGGGTCTTAATCGTGGTTTTAAATAAACAGCCAAAGTAAACTAACGATTCTTTGGCATGCAATAAGCGTCAAAGCTTTTGGTGGCTATGATCAGTGTGTTTATAATTAAAACACGAAATTGCGAAATGACGAAATGGCGTTACGAGTAAGAGTAATGCCCGGGGGATACTCCCAGAAAAATTGGATAGGGGTGTGCAACCCGCTTCCCAAAACCTTTACTCTATTTATGACTAAAATTTACGATATTTATGACCTGACCAAAAATTCAAAGCCCTATTCATGACATGGCACAGTTGCCGTAAACATAATTTATGAGGGGCTTTTGTTGATGGTCTTCTCGATAATGATGAAAAAGTAGCTTCCTCTAAAAACATCAAATTCAAGACTAGAATGCAAAAACCATACACTATTTAAGACCAAACTGGCCAAAATCGATACCCTATTTATGACCAAAACGGCTGAAAAACCCTACCCTTTGGGGCTGCACATACCTACAGAGCCCATACAAGAGAGTTCCTAGTACCCCCCAAAGGGAAGTGACGTGGGATACTAAACAGTTCGATGTCACATAACGCTAAGAAATGATAGCACACAAACTGCATTCAGTTCAGTGCAAAGCACTGAAGAAAAAAAAAAAAAATTTTATCTAATTATCTTTCAGCACGTTGCCAAACATTAGACTATTTTAAGCTGTTAATTCGTCACTCTGCCGTCAGCAGTCTATAAAGGTAGGAAAGATTGACGTATTCTAAAAGTAATGATATTGATCATGAAAGTAAGACATCAATGTTGAGGAGTGTAGCGAATCCTAGAAACGAAGTAAGCTCCGTAATGCGGTTTTGGTGAGGTTTTGCGGTTCGCGGGGTTGCGATACAAAACTAAGTCTTCCGATGAAATAGGGCGTGACCGTTACAATGATGATTGAGCAATACTTTCACGTCCTTGTTCTCATACTTTAGAGGATCAGTGTGACTCTAGCTTCCCGATCTGTGGTTGAAACCCTAGTGTACAGCTATCAAGTGTAAGTTTATTAAGCTGATTTTCCGTGAAGCGATGTTCCTTTTTCATTATTAATTAACTTATAATTTTCTTTTAACCTTGAATCCCTGTAGTGACGCGAAACGTTGAGCATCAATATTGATAGATATTTCCTTTAATCTTCTTGCCTTGTTGCTCCAGTGAAGTGAATGATTTTATACAATTTAGTTGAGGTCATGGACTTTGCTCGTACGTGATACACCACTTCTTCCTCATTGTCCTTCGTTTTCCTTCCTGTCGATTTTTTGTTGAGGGCATTCTTGAACCACTAGCTTAGCGAGTGTTTGCGCAGTGTNGTGTAAGTTTATTAAGCTGATTTTCCGTGAAGCGATGTTCCTTTTTCATTATTAATTAACTTATAATTTTATTTTAACCTTGAATTTTGGCACTCCTGCAGTGACGCGAAACGTTCAGCATCAATATTGATAGATGTTTCCTTTAATCTTCTTGCCTTGTTGCTCCAGTGAAGTCAATGATTTTATACAATTTAGTTAAGGTCATGGATTTTGCTCGTACGTGATACACTGCTTCTTCCTCATTGTCCTTCGTTTTCCTTCCTGTCGATTTTCTGTTGAGGGCATTCTTGAACCACTAGCTTAGCGAGTGTTTGCGCAGTGTGTATGCCGGATACTGACCTTGTACGTCAAAACCGTACCACGAAACTCTTTTAGTTTCTAGGATGAAATTAAAATAGCAAACTCAAAGACAGAAATATGAAGATTCCATGAGAGTATCAGTTTAATAAAAAAACGGACGATTTCTTTAGGGTTCGTGACTTTTACCACTAATGATGATTTTAGTGGTTTCATTGAATGCCGACTGAAATTCATGGATCTTAATTGCTTTACAATGTGGGCAGAATCCATGCTTTGGGAGCAGAAAAACTTTCATTTGTTATGCGTTTTCTCTGAGTTTTCCATCGTTACTTTCAGTAACGTGTTATAGATTTACCAAAGATCTACGAAGTTGTTTTTGAAACAACGTTAAATTATACAACAGTCTGCGTAATTTTGATGCCCACGCTTCGCCAATTATGATTAATTGCGTTCACGAAGTGTAACGAAATCGTAATCCAGACTTTGGGACAATGAACACCGCTTTGGTCTCCCAGCAGTAGGGGCATAGTACGTCACGCGTGTATGTACGAGCATGTATGTGCTTAGATACGGTGGAAGTGTGTAAGGTTTGGCGTGTGTTTTCGATCTGCTCGCCTTCGACCGGGTAACTGAACCTGTGCCATCAGGAATGAATATTTTGTTACTCGGCGGCGGAAAATGTCTATGAAATGTGGTCAGAAAACAAATTTTCCGAGTCGTGTAGCTCAGCAAATGGCCATGAAACTGGTTAGAAAATAAACTATCCGAGTTGTGTAGCTCGGCAAATAGCTATGACTTGATTGTTGTCAGAAACCAAACCTTTCCCAGTTGGGTAGCTCCCCAAAGACCGTGATTTGTGGTTAGAAATAATTTAACTTTTTCATTCGTGAACACAAGATGCAAGTTCGAGGAATTTTATCAAATGCAAATGCAAGGTAACTTTGTCAAAGTATTGGTGATCCGCTGGGTCGTCAAGACGTTATTTTTTCAAGAAATGTTCATCACAAGTGTTGGAGATTAAGTTTCGAAAACAGTTAAAAATGCCCAGTCTCCTTGGAAAATAGATATGTTTCTATTTTATTAAAAACACTTTTACGGGTCGCTAGTTTTTCATAGGGACCTTACACATATACGACGGCGACGGCGAGGACGACGCATAGTAGAAAATGTTTGTATGTTACTTTGAAATTTCGCATTTATTTGGACCTATCCAGTAAATTTGTCGGTATTAGAACTTGACCTGGCTGAATATGCTACGAATGCGTTCAATTCCAGATAGAAATACGAAAAATTAGCGGTTGTGGTTCACATTCTCCAGGCAACGCAGACTTTGGTCATTTCACGTTGTTGTTTAGCAGAAGACGGCAGAGAAATGTACCAAGAATTATAATGCACGTGCACAGCTATTGTTTTGCTCATTAAACCTTTTGTTTGGTGACGTTCTCGTTGCCGTTGCCGTCGTGTTTTGCGTATTAGAGACCTTAAGCAATGACGACGGCGACACCAAGGACGACGCCTAGAAAAAAAAGAATTTATATTTTACGTCGAATTACGCGGATGCCTATATCTGTTCAGTACGTCTATCGGTCTCAGAACTTGCTCAAGCTTAATATGTAATGCCAGCGTTCAATGCCAAAAGAAAATACGAGAAATTAGCCTCCGTCGTTCACGTTCTTCAAAATACGCAGAACTTGGTTAGTTATTTCACGTTGTTGTTTTGTAGAGGACGGGTAAGAAATGGACAAAGATTTATAACGCACGTGCACAGCCATTGGTTTGCTCATTAAACCTTTTGTTTGGTGGCGTTCTCGTTGCCGTTGCCGTCGTGGTTTGCTTAAGGTCCCTTCAGGCCCGTTTACACAGGCGATTTTTGTCGCGCTAAAGTTGCATCGAGTTTCAAACATGTTCGAAACTCTTGCGATATCGCGGCGACAAATCGCACTGAAAATCGCACCTGGTTTTCACGTGCGATTTTGAAGATGCAACTTTAGCGCGACAAAAATTGCATCGAGTTGCGGCGACAAAAATCGCCTGTGTAAACGGGCCTTTCAACGTCACATGTAGATTTGTCATTCGATCGCCAAAGTTGACCAAACATGCAAAGTATTCGCGTGATATCAGCTCTTATCGGCGGTAATTACTTTATTACACAATATTGGTGAGTTACACGATAAGCTTTTGACATTTCACTTCTAAATAAACTGAGAAGATGGCTTAGTATTGATCAGAATATCTATGTGCTAGTTTATTTTGCTGAGAAATAAACTTTGTTTATAAAAACAGGATAAGTTACGACTAAGGTAACAACACAATATGTTAAAGTGGCAATACTTGACTACAATATTGGCACCTGTTTAAGACTGAGCTGGATTTACACAATACGATATAGGATCCAAGTTCGTCACAAAACTGTTGTAAAACTAAATATAAATCTAAGAAGCTCTTGAAAGAGTCAAATAGTGCTGTTCTTGCGGCGTTTCCAGGTAAGCGGAAGCTCAGGCTAGTCCCTTAAATAATTGTGGTGAAACATTGCTAACGCTTGGCATATCAGCTGCAGTTGAAAGCTAAAAACGGCATCGATATTGGAGCCAATCTTTTAGAATGATTTCTAGCAAGTTGTGTAAGCTTAGAGGTTAATGAATACAATCATATCCTTCGTCATAAAATAACACATACGTATCAAAATGAAAATACAAGCAATACGAAAAAAACCTCAACGCTGTATGTACCCGTATGAATTCGAAAAGTGTCTATTAAGGAAGAATGTTTCGGTGAAATACAAAATTAAACATCGGCCAACTGGCTTGAAGTCCAAGCAACTGTGATAAAGACCGCCTTTATGGCAATAGATTTCAGTGACGCCTAGTTAGAATATATAAAACTTTCACTGCAGTCTGATGAGCGAGTGATGACTGAGTGAATATTATGTATAATGAATATAGCAAAGCAGCTAATTTTTGTGCCAAGTGAGAAAATGGTCGCAATAGTTCATGATCAGTGATCTGACACATGGAGACGATATACGCTTAAGATTCTCTGCTCAGCTTTTCGGTTGAGTCAGAAACAAGTTTAAATGTGAACATGTAAAGGGGAAAAATTATATTAAAAACAAACTTCAGAGAGTTTTTCTTATGATCATTTCTCGTACTTATTTCATATGTATTTTTCTTTTAAGACGAGTGAGAAAAGCAAGAGGAAACTAGCCGATTATTAACCCAACTCTGCAACAAATTGCTGATACTTAAGTTATTTTTAAGTACTAAATACACGTAATACTGACGTCAATTCATAATCAGTGGAACATGGTGCCGTAACACTACATACTATGAAAAATATGGAGAGTTATATTTTTTATGTTTTTGAACATCTAGACGACTAAAAGTCATGAACATATCAGTAGTATTTAGAATTCTTGTGAAATCTTGGCTCGTCAATTCAACGAGCTTCTTCGTAATCCGTAAAATTTTCACACTTTTTAATTG